TATCGTTCACGCTTACAAAGCTAAATGCTGCCACCATTCCGGCACAGACGCCGATTCCTAGAAAGAATGTTCTCTAGAATAAAATGGTTGGCTGAACAAAGTACAGCGCACTCGACTTGGTCGATGGGTATTACCGATTGCTCATGAGAGCGAATGACGTTCTGCTGACAGCGGTGAGTACTACAAGTGGGATGCTCTGGGAGTGGTGCCCCATGGACTGGCAAATGCACCAGCAACATGAAACCGTCTTGTGACGCAATTGTTCAGGCCCCACCGGCCGTATGCACAAAACATACTTTGACGACATCTTCGTCCACAGTCATGCGGGGCACGGGAGGCAGCTGTGGAAAACCACATCGTCCATTTGAGATCGGTCCTCGACTGCATGCGCACGAATAAGCTGTACGCTAATGCCGGAAAGTGCATCTTTGGCGGTAAGGAAATCTTCTTGTAAGGGTGCTTCATTGTGGACCGTGACCTACAAGCCAATCCCACTAAGGTCAAGATCATTGAGGACTGATCGGTTCTAAAGAACCTATGGACTTGCGTAAGTGGCTTAGCCTCGCCTACTACTTGCACATATATAGCGCAAATTATGCGGAAATTGCACGGCCATTGTCGAATCTCCTTAACAAGAAAGCGGAATGGTGTTGGGAGACCGACCATCGGGAGGCTTTTGGCAGGGTCAAAGACAGCATCCTTCATGCAACAATACTGACGATGCCACACCTTTATCGTCCTTTTAGAGTCGTCTGTGGCACTGCGGACTTTGTCATTGGCTGTGCACTGCTGCAAGCAGACGCCGAGCGGCAAGATCGGGTGATCGCGTTCGAATCTCGCCAGCTTTAGTCTGCGGAGAGGAACTATCCTGTCCATGACAAGTAAGTACTTGCGATATAGTATGCACTTGTCAAGTTTGGGGTGCACCTGCTTGGATCAAAGCCGTTTGTGATCTACACAGATCATGCGTCATTACGCACTGCGACTCAGTCGCCTCCTTCTCGCAGAGGATAGCCAGGTGGGTCTCCTTCATCACAGAATAAAATTTTAAGGTGAAGTATAATCCAGGAAAGCAGAATGCCTTGGATGATGTGTTGTCACGCAGACCACTTGGACATGGCACGATGATCAAGGGGGAGCCGGATTATGAGCTTGTTCATGGTACGACGGTGACGTCGCCAGTGTCGGATTTGATCCGCGCCGCATACGTGGGTGATGGTATGTATGAAGCGCTGCTACAGGTTGAGTTTGGAAATTCGGACAAGAAATTTTAAGCGCGAATGAGCACGCTTATTCTGATATTCGTTGAACAACGGGTGACTGTATTATAGCACCGATTCGACGGATACGCCACGAATTGTGGGTACTCACGATGAGGCTTTGAAATCCGTATCCTCTGTGAGGCCCACGACTGTTGTCATCTTGGTCGTAAGAAGACGTACATCTCGGTGAGTCGCCACTACTGGTGGTTCAAGCTCTACAAATGGACGAGCACATAAGTGCGCGCGTGTGAGACAAGTCAAAGGGTGAAATCCGCTCCGAATGCGGCGGCACCGCTAGCCAGTTTACCGAGACCCTCTGGGTGTTGGCAGCCATGAGATGAACTTTGTAATTGGCCTGCTAAAGTACCCGGCGGGCAACACGGGTGTTGCGGTCTTTGTGGGCCGCTTGAGCAAGATGGCTCATCTTGCGGCGGTGCCGGACACCATCGACGGTGTGGATACAGCGTCGGTTCTGTCGATCGTGCCTTTCGACAGCATGGACTCTTGGAGTCAATTGTCTCTGATAGAGACCCATGATTCACTGGGAAGTTTTGGGCTACAATCTTCAGGGCGCTGGGCACCAAGTTGACTATGTCTAACAGTGGACTATCAGCAGACCGATGGTCAGACTGAGCGCGTGTATCGCATCGTTGATGACGTTCGTTCGCAGCGTCAGCGCTATGACGCCGAAGCGCTGTAGCGCCATGCTGCCACTCGTCGAGTTTGCTCTGAACGAGGCATTGCATTCATCTACCGGCTACACGCCGTTCTACGTTAACGGGATTATTTATCCTCGGGTCCCGCAAACGCCGCCATCTCATGGGTCAGGGCTCGGTGAGAGAGGAAAAGATCAACGCTAGCTGATGTCAGCCTCCTTACTGTACCTAAAGAAGTCGATAACTTCCGAGTGACCTACGACACATTAGCGATGGCTGAAAGCAAAGACACTAAGAAAAAATGCAGATGGAAGAAGCAGAAGAAATGTGGTGAACATTGAGGTTGGAGACCTGGTTTTGTTGAATGCTAAAGAAATTACAACACATTCAGTCTCTGTTGTCATTATGACAAAGCTCCGTCCATGGTTAATTGGACCTTTTTCAGGCCGTAGCCAAGCGAGGCCTCGCGTATACGCTAAACTTCCGAGAAGGATGCGCACCCAAACGGTCTTAATGTGGGCTTGCTTAAGCCAAACCGGGTCCGGCGCAAGTAAGCGCGAACACTTTTGAGCGCCGGGGCGGCGTCCAAGAGCATTCGCCCACCCAGAAGTTGAACTAGTAACTGGTTCTGATCACGGAGTGCAACATTTTCCGTTTTCAACAGCGCAAGGCGCTCCACCGTCACAAAGGGACGTATTCGTCTGCTCGACGGCTAGGAGCTGCTCCGATAGAGCGCGATAATCCACAACATGAGGCATTCAGTGTACAAGTGCTCCACGCTCTCGATGTTTTCCGCACAGCAGTAGGCGACCTCGGCAAGATAACCGGCAGAATGCCGATGACGACGGACATTGTTCTTTAACGCTCGAAGAGCATCGCCAGTCACCGGACGGCGATCAACCAAGTTGTCATCGTACGCATCAACTCTTTTCGATCAGAATGGTGGCAACCATTATATCGTGGTACGCCTTGTCGTCGACAGGGTCGAACCCAATATGTTGAGAAGCGGCGGGGATACCCAAACTCCGAGAATTCGTGGGAGCTTTAGGTGCCACTTCGGCAAGACTATCCAGACGTCGTAGATGCTTATGTTCAGAAGGATCATGACGCATCCCATCGTCGTGAGCCCCGCGCTTCTCGGCCGTAGCCCGGAAGGCTAGAGGGGCATGAGTTGAGGTTAAGATGTGGCTCGGAGCTGCTATGGTCGTAGGATCACCTGTGTGAGAAACCACAGAGCTCGCGGGAGCGTGGTGGATGATTCCTTGTGTTGCAGGGCGACAATACATGGGAAGACAGCGTTGCACCTTGAGTTTGATAAACTCAAATCGGAGATGGCGATTTGAGTTTATCAAACTCAAGGTGCAACGCTGTCTTCCCAACGCGCACGTTCACTTCCTTGTGGCTTCGCTGTAAGGTAGACAGTGGGGAAACTTCTCGGTGCCACTGCAGCCATCGCTTAAAGAGCTCCTCATCATCTGCAGCGGGTTTGCTAGGGGCGAGCACCACATGAATAGTCCGCATTGCGGGTAAGGATGGCCTCCTCTTTCATCTCGAAGTCGAGCGCGGTACCTAACCACTGGGATTTTTTAAGTACCAAAAATCAAGCTCGGAGAGCTTTCCACTGGTCAAGCTCAGCTTGTGTTGTTGTCGAAGCACCCGACTACGTAGTCGCCTAAGGATCGAGTGATCGCGTCTTATGCTTCAGCAGCGTGATCTGCCGAGCGGAAGCCATAATCCAGACGAGGGTCTAAGACCGAACGTGGATACGATCGCATGAGGGATGCCCTGTGGGCAGCCTTCAAATGCTGCTTATGTGCCACGTCTGGACGATTGGTAACAAAAGTACTTCTATTCGAAATCGAGAGGTCGCGGAACGGACACGTTGTCCGCAGGGTTCGCGCTGGGCTCAAGTTGCACCGTTAGCGCACCTCGCCTTTCTCGTCTTCCCATGCTGGGAAAGGAGTATTAGCCACACCATTGTGTAATTTGTGTAATCCACAGCTTTGTGCGGTCACACCATCTTGGTGACCTACCCTTTCATACAAGGGTACGTGTAACCTCGTACCATTCTCTGATGTGAATATCCACAATTCACATTTTACTGTCGCCTCATACGAGGCTCACGTGTCTAAAACACCGTTAACTTCCCTAAGAACACCTTCGAACATTCTACGCTCAAAGATCCCTGCAACCTGAGTATTTACAACAGCTTTCATACTGCTTTTTTCTTAAGGTCTGCCGTAATGCTGCACGGATCTGCTTTTCGGGATGTGCCATATGGTTGAAGACTTAGATTCAGATTTTTTGTAAGGCATACGATAGGTCATCGTGTTCTTAAAATTGTGTATATCTCAGAAAACTCTATGTTCAGATGATTCGTAACATACAAATGGATTAGTACTTACATACGGACGTGCTGACGTGTCAAAAGGATACTCTAACGGTTGACGTGTCAAAAGGATGCTCTCACTGTTGACGTTAATTTCCCAACAGTAATTTGGTCCCGACAGAGTGCTGACCATCCATTTTATATGTGTTTTGATCATCTTAAAGGCATTTCCGGTGATGCCAGTATTAGCAAAATAGCTATCATAACACTAATATACGGCCAAGATATCTACACAAAGTCTTTCACCAAAATGGCCTATCTGTGGTTATTTTTTCGAATCGAATTCTGCTCTCTCAGCAACAAATCGGAGAGCTTTGTTCAGAGCTTTAAAACTAGGTTGGATATGTTCGCAGCGGACGATTCAAAAACGATGATCCGACGAAACGAGCTGATCGCGTCTTTTGAATCGCTTGCACGGAGAGACCGCGGGCAGGAGCGAGATGCTTTCACCCGTCAAGTTTCGGTGAACGACGCATATCATGCCGCTACACTTTCACACTTTTTCCATAACAACGCCCTGACGCCTTCGTTATCGATACTTATCAACTCGTCGGCTTCACGATAACTTTATTTTAGAGAGATTTAGCGTTAAGCACCACCTACAACTGTTTCTTAAAATTGCACTATATCACAAATCTGATTTAGCTCCATATATTGTAGCTATGATAGCAAATCCATACTTCCAACGTTTCCATGGCGGACGAAACGGAGGTTGAGACAGTCGTTCGAATTCAAGCTGTGGACATTCGTGACCTGTATCCAGAACTTTGCGCACAGGATGTGAGCTCGCGTACGTGTTTGCTGTGTAGCGCAAAGTTGAAGGATAAGACGCACAATCTCACGCGTCACCTGGAGCGACATCACGCTGGGGCTCTATTGCAACTACTAGAGCAGCGAAATGAAATTTCACCAAAAGTTCTTGTTTCCAAGAGGAAGCACGTACAGCCGAAAAAGTCAGAGGTGGTTAAGCAGTCAATGAGAGAGGATAAAGACACCCAGCTTAAGGTAGGGAACGCCAACCTTGCCCTTGCAAAATGGCTTGCACAAGAGCAGCTACCCGTTGATTTGATCAATAATTCTAGCTTTCGGCAATTTACTGAAGAGCTAAGTGGGCATTTTAATCTACCGACGGAGAAAGAGCTGCGTCAATTGCTAAAAACGTTAATGAACGGAAGGGATACGGCCGTTGAGCAACAGACAATAGCGAAAGGTGACGCTATGCTACCAGTTGATATGCTGGCACTCAAAGCTACTTCTCGTTGCAATGAAGACTCGCCACTTGTATCATGCAGTCGCATTGTGTGTGGTATTGTCACCAGTGGTGAAGCCAAAGTAAAAGTTTTACGAGCAACAGCATCGCTGCTCGATGCTCAAACTTGTCGAGGCAAAGTTTTAGGCAAGAATGGCGTGCTTGGCAGGTTTTTTGTTGGAATTGTTTGTCAGATACAGCCGTCTGTGCTGAGTCAGGTAGACTCAGTGAATGATGCAAGCTCTATTAAGTTATTCGACAAAGTCATTCCATCACCTTATGATGTACTTGACATGCAGGAGCAACGCGAATATGATCATCAAACGAGTCAAAGTGGCCACAATCTGGACCGAAAACACAGTGGCGCTCTTGCCGAATACATTGTACTGCCAGTCTCAAATCTGTTGGTAGTTCCTCCAACTGTTCCCGATGATCTGGCACTTCTATCACATGACATGTCTATCGTTCTTTCCATTGCTAGCGAATTGCACCGACAATCAATAAAAAACATTGCGATTGTAGCAGACGGACCATCGATAATCGTGTCCAATTTGCTATTACGATATTTGCATCAAGCCTCGCAGCCCGCACCGCAAAATATCTACGTGATTATCACGTCTTCAGCCAGCTCGTCTGTGTGGTCACAGTACGCTTCCATCATTCCTTTAAATATTCATCAGCCCGACGCTGAGGCCAACCTGATAGCTCAACAGCCTGGGGTAGTGGTGGATGCCATTGTGGATCTAATCGGTTCTGAAGCTTCGACCGTATTTGCCACTCAATTGGTGCAGCCTATGGGCTGCATTGTGCTTGTAGAGCGATCACAGTCTGACCTGGATCCGCAATCGACGATCGCCATGGATATGAATAGTTTGGTCGTAAAAGAGTTAGAGATCGTCAATGTGAGTGGTGGAAAGAAATTCCTGAACGACGCACTTCAATACTTGGCAACCCAGGTGACGAATTCAGAAAGCGCGACAGAGTTGCGCAAGTGCTTGCTAGATTGCGTACAGTTCCCACACGCACTTCACAAGCTCCAAACAATTCCAGAACAAATGCTTGAATCGCGATATCTTCAGGTGGCGTTAACTTGAGTAAAAATTATGAATGATTAAAATGGAAGTCTTCTATCGAAAATGGTTGCTCATTTTTCATTGCTTTGCTTAACCACAGACCTGATGAGCACGCTAAGGTTTCTCAGCCGATTTTTTTCTGAAATTACTACATCAGGTCATTTGGTTCTAAAGCTTCGGACGGAACTGCTGAAAGGACTGCTGTAGCCCCACACCTTGCTTGACAGCATCTGCAATTTTATTGTCCTGCTCTTCGATTATTTGTGCTTTAGCTGCAATCTCAGCAGCATGCTCAACAGGGATGACAATGACACCGTTGATGTCACCTCTTATGATGTCGTTGTTGCGGACAACACACCCTCCTATTACAACGGGGCACTTGACACTCGCAACCATCGTACTACCTCGTTGTCCATGAACTGTAGTACCACAGGAAAAAATGGGTAGGCAAATCGAGCTGATCTCCTCGATATCTCGAATTCGTCCGTTTGTAACGACTCCAGCAGCACCGCGAATCTTGGAGGCCGAGGCCAACAATCCACCAAAGACACCAGTTGTAGTGTCTGTGGGCGCACTGATGACAATAACTTGCCCCACCTCGATCAAATCTACGTAATGAAACGGTAATTTGCTTACTGCAGGACCAGTGGCAGGTACGACTTGTACCGTGAATGCAGGTCCACAGATATTTACTGTCAGTGGGGCGGTAATGCCGCGCAGGAGAGTCACGTCCACGATGTGGCCTTGGATTTTTAGTTGCGCCATGGCATCAGCTATGGCGCAGACAGAGAGTTTGGCTAGATGCTGCTGCGCGTCGGAAGGTAAGGCAGAGATGGCAGCCATAGCAAATCGTTAGATTTGATCAAAAGCGTATTTTCAACAATGGTTTTAAGAGGTTGTCGAAATTCGTTTTCGAAGATATTCCAAGAGAACTAGGCTAAACTTGTGTGTACGTTTTGAAACAAGCTCGTAGCAATATTGTCGGTGGCAAAGTTTTTAAAGCTCTTTCACTTCAACTGCCTATTGCACTATACCGATCTACGCTTTAATTGATCACTGATGAATGGTTTGCAAGCCCGTAGGACTTTGACGATAAATGATACCAGTACTTTTCGAATATCATGTTGTATTAAAGTTGTTTAGTGAATAGATCGTCAAATGGGATAAGCTGTCCGTCCGCCTTATCTTTTTTGTTGTCCATCGTCCTATTCTGGATGTTATATTTAAATGAGTAAACCAATCGATACAAGATGCCACGCAATACATGTGTCCACTCGTTACAAAACGAGTATTGCGCGAGTTTTTATGTTCATCGTGCCTCGATTATTGTCACTCACCTCCACGAAAATGTTTTTTCTAGCGGTAGCTCTTGCTCACATACATAAGTATCTGAGTAAAGTAGCAAATACGAAGCAACAACCGCGTGGCAACACTCAAATCTGCCCGTCGAGCAGATAACTGAAGAAGAGCAAGACGGACTTCGCATCTCAATTAGAAAGACTCTGTGAGGTCTTATCTAATCCATTAACCAGTTCAGACGTTACAGCATATAATATATTTTTGCTCGAATGTTATATAGAGCTCTGGCGATAAAGGTGCTTACATCTTATCATCATGGCTTTGCACTTTGTGATGCTAGCATCTTGATCAACCATAATATTTATGTTAAGCCATCAAGCCGCACAGCTGCATACGTTGTGCTTCCACGATTCATCTTCGTCTCTCAATGAACGAGCTTCCATGTGAGTAATGTTACATGGATCATTCATCTCGTCATTACGTATCTATGGAGGCATCAACAAGCTAATAAGCAAAAAAGTAATCGAACTGCTTTAGCCTTTTTGTTCTTACTTGCAGCTTATGAATGATCACGCTTCTATACCAATTTCGTATCAGTCGTGTCTGGTGGTTCTTTGTCAATTGTGTATTTCAACCAGAGAGGCAAGCGCAATCGAGTTCTTAACTCCATTGTGTTGGTCTTGGTAGTTGAAAATAATGCTTTAGCGTTTTGATCACCGCATATGTACAAATTTCCGATTTTGAACAGCGCGACCCAATTGTAACGGGGTTACATGAGAGTGACCCGTCACTCTCCCAAGGGAGCTGTGGTGTG